TGCTGAACCAAGGCCCGCAGAAGCATTTTAACATTCCTTGAGTTTTTCCCCACTTATTCTTAAAATGACTTATAAAGCTGACAGTATTTCATAGAATCACAGAATCTTTAAGGTTGGAAAAGACCTCTAAGATCAAGTCCAACCATCTGTGGCTTGATCTTGGCTTCTCGTACCCTAGTATAAATTTTATACCTGTCTCTTCCTGCCAAATGCCAAGAGCCCTCAAGTCCCGGCTGCTTTAGTCCTGATGTTGTCAAGTGTGGGACGTAGAGGGCAACGTAGAAAAAGGGGCTGTGGCAAGACGACGGGGAAGCAGCACGTGGAACAGAGGTGTGTAGGGGACAGCGGGTGCTGGAGAGAGTCCAACAGACATCCCCGTGTTATACTTCAAATATAGCACTGGCTAGGAATAAAGCTTCACACATGAGTATGCATGCTGTAATGGAGAATCAAGCTCCATCCTTCCTCCGCTCAGCAAATCCCAGGAAAACAGATTCCAAAAAAAAAAGTCTCATTCCTGTTTGAGGGGATCCACTTTAACAACCCCCTAAACACGAACTATTTTTTACTTTTCTTTGAGGTAAAGCTGGGACAGGGGAGGTACACCCAGAGAGGGAATTCAGGTGGCTGGGATGACGGGGAACAACAGCAGGTGACTGTCACGGGGGGTGCGGGGTGACAAACACCGTGATGACAACAGGGTCACCCAGGACATACAGAACAAGGGCAGACTCAGCCTTTGCCCTCCTAAGCACTGAAACATGCAGAGGTTTTGAAAGAAAAGCTTTTAGAAGTAGTTGGCAAAGCAAGTTTAACATTATTCGGCTTAGAAAGGACTCCGTTTGGAAGGACGTAGAGAGTGTGCACCACGCAGTGCCCGGCACTTACCTGTGTCATAGTGAACTATCAGGGATCTGGAATGATCCCCAGTCTTCAGCGGGTGGAACTCCACTGTTACTTGCATGGTGTCACCGATCCCAAGCGTCCCCACAGAGGGATGGACGGAGAAGGGGCTGCAACAGAGACACACACGCACGTCAGGACTATCGTGGCAGGTTTGGGGACTAGATCTCTCCTGCAGTCTGGTTCACTTCACCTCACTGGTGCAAGCAAGGAGCAAACAAACCACAGGCAGGAGAAGAAAAACAGAACCTACAGCATCAGAAACAGAGCTGCCGACTCATTTCTGAAGAGATCCAGCCCTCAGAAGATCCAACGGTATTTTTATACCATTTTATACCAACCTCATCTCCCCCATATTCTGCAGCCAGTGCTCTGCAGTGAGGTTCAGGAGTCCAACTGCTTGCCATGCGATCAGTGAAGGGTTTTTGAAGAGCAGAGAGATGGTAAGAGCTATTTGCAGGCACAACTTGACACTGATTTCCTCAGGAATCTGTCTTTTCCTGCTTTACCTATAAACCTCACCTCAAGAGATGCAAATGTCAAGGCAATACCTGTCCCAGTGAGATTACAGCCTAGAAATCAGGGAGAATAGAAGTCTCTCTTGAAGACCAGAGAATAATAATGATTTAATTTGCAGAATTTTTTTTTTTTTTTTTTACCTTGAAAACATCCTGGTTTAGCCTAAGAAAGGGCACGTTTTACCAGCATTTCAATGAAAGCTGCTCTAAGAAAAGGAACAATCCCAAAAATCCAAATGAGTGCAGCAGCAGATTAGAGCAATACAATGACATGGAAACAAGACACAAAAGGAGTACACCATTTACAACCGGAACGATTAAATCCCTGGCTAAATGAAGAATCGTTACCAGGAGCATATCAAGGCGAGTTTAACAGGAGGTTTTCTATGTATTAACAAGCAACGCAATCTGGGACTCTTGGATTACAATCCAAGCTCCATACCTGTTTGCTCAGCCCACCAGACAAATTCTGTGCAATGTGTCGGAAATAATTATGAAAATGTGTTAGTGTACTTTGGATTTAATACAAGCAATTATGATTTGTCACCAGGTAAACAGCTCTTGGCTGATAGGCACAAAATTCAGCGCTTTAACACTGCGGGGTAAGTCAGATGAAACGTGCTTCTGCACAACAGCAGCTGGGCTTCATGGCTCCCGCACAGCCTGTGCTTACAAAACAAAAGTTATTTGGTTTAGTGCTTTGCTGATGGTCAATTTTTCACCTTAAAAACAAGCTCTGGAGAGTTTCACCATGATTAGACAATGCACCACACAAAAATAATGAGAACAACTGGAGCCATGTGCAAGCTGAACTGTGTTCATGTAGGTAGCGACAGCTGATGAAATTGCTGGAGTTTCTGCTCATTAAGGAGATATTGCTGCAATTAGAGGCCTGACCTCTTCCCATTACAACTAGTGAGAACATTGCTACTCACTCATGGAGAAGCACTGGGCCCGCAACGTTTACATGCTGGACCTGAGAGTTTTGAGAGAAGATGACTTCAGGGGATGTCTGAGAAAGAAGGTATCTTCATATTTTCAAATTATCAGAAGATGATCCAACCAAGTTTAGGACTTGGTTCTCAGGACTGAGAAATGGAGCACAGATCAGATATTTCATCTCCTACATCCCACTGTGGGCTGTAGCCACAAGACAACTCTGCTACTGCTGTAGCAGGAGCTCGTTAGCCCTCACATAGACCTGGTTCTCCAAAGATGCAAGCTCCATGGTTAAACTTAACTCCTCTGCATTTCAGTCGACATCACTAAGCTGTTCCCTGCAGCCTACAGATAAGAAGAGATGCTAAGGAGACATCCCTGACACATTGCAATAGCCAAATGGAAACCACGGCCAAGAGATGAAGCTGGCAGGCTAAACTTTGGCCTGTTACCCATTAATTGCAAGCTGTTCTTTAAGATAATTCGTGTCCTGTTAGATCTACTCTTTTAATGAATCACTGCTGCTCCTGAAAGACAGGAACGATAAGGTTTGGAGGGGTTTTTTAATAGCTTTTCTTCTGACATGCTTTTTAACTACGTCCATTTGTATGCTTGCTTTGTTGTACGACATCTAAACTTTCACAGGTCCAGATCTCCCAACGGTACCTTGCAATCCCCAGCTTGTACAACCTCATCTAGCCATGCCAATCTAGGAGAGACCTTCCCACCAGCGCCTGCTGAGATCTTGCCTATTATTGTCCTTCAGAAAGAGAGCAACACTAGATTTGTAAGCAATTTCATAATTATGTGTTTTGGAATTTACATCTTTCTTGCTTTCACCAGGCATCTTGACAGAGCTGAGCAAAAGTTATGTCTCATGAGGATACCAAGGGCCAAATACTCATGACATAGTTTAGAAACACAAGTGAACAAAGCTGGCAACTCTCAAACCACCATGCCTCCTCTTCTCCTGCAGCCATACATTTGGTAAATGCAGCGTGCAAGGAGGCTGCAACATACTACAAGTTCCATGGTATGTTTATCCTCTACGGCCAGGCTCTCTTTGGTCTACTGGTGCCTTAATTTGTGTTATAAAATCATTTAAGTTTGGGAGAATCAATTTCATTAAAACTACCTCCAACCCCAAGGAAGACAATAAAATTACCCGTGACTGAATTGCCTCATCTGTCCACTAAAGACCTACTGGAGGCAAAAAAAGCCAAAGATCATTTAATCTTAGCGTATATCACTTTTTAGCAATGGTATAACAGCCAAAGTTAAGCGGTATAACTATTCCAGTGAAGTCAGTCTGCTAGGTCAAAGCATCCAAGACTCAACCTTTCCTTCTTCCACTGCGCCTAGGCTCTACTTTCATCTCCTTGGATGGTCTTTGTACATCCTGTAGTAACTCCCTAGTCCCACACCTCCATGTAGTATATGGGTACTATAGGGAAGGATGCAGGGGATGTCCGAGCACTCTGCCTTGCAGGATAATTTCCTGAGCTTTCAGAACTGGGTGGGGACATTCCTAAACAGATCTGATCTCAGACCGATCCTCTCCAGCCCCACAGCACAGCACAATGTCTGTCATGTCAGGAAAAAGCAGCCCTGCACGGAGATCTGCTCCCAGACACCATTTTCAACTCAAACCTACTGGAATGACATTTATCTCCGTGAATGTCATGGAGAAGAAACTCATTATCCTGCCCTAACGATGAGAACGACAGGAAGAGACTTTCTATATTTATACTATTATTTTTTATTACCAAGCAATGCAGTTAAGATCTGGGTACGGACATGCAGAGGGAGGACAGGCACAAAGCCAGGCTGAAAAATGGGGAGTGCTTTGGTGGGTTTTTGGTTTTTTATGAAAAAGTGGTCAAAATGTGAACATGTTTTCTGGGAGCTACCGTGGCAGGGGAGAGCTCTGAACGAGGAACAGAAGAATGCTGAATTGGCCCCATGGATTCACTTAAGAGCTTCTCCTTGGAGTGAAAAACACAACAAACAACATGTGAGACCTTAGACAAACGAGTAACAGGGAAGGAATGTCATCATGACATGACCAGATGTAAGAGCCGAGCTCTTGGTACTGCGAGGAAAGGTCGGGATTGGAGACAGGCTGAAAAAGGCGCTGAGGTGAGCGTGGAACAGTTATGCTTGGTGCCAGAGAAGGGAATCCAGAGGGGAGGCAGAGAAAAGCCGTCTGAGCAGGACAGTGGACTAGGAAACGGTGGCATCGGCAGCTGGCTTGCAAATGGGCACAAGCCTGAATTCGCCCAGGTCAGAAACAGAAGTCGCATCAACTAACCCAAAAGTTTAAATTATATAGAGATTAATGGATAGAGAGGTCAGCTGATGGGTCTATGCACTTACACAAATCTCTCATTCCCTTCTACTCCACTAATCATCCTCCTCCTCCCCTACGCATGTGTGCCTGTACATATCACCACACACCAACGCTACCATGTGATGTTAACACTGGCTTTAACGCAACACCATGTCCTCACTCAGCAAAAGTTAAGCACACATTCAACTTCGGCTGCTTAAATTCTCCACTAAACAAGAACAGACTAAACCAGACCTGAATTTAAGCCTGTAAGGCAGCACTCCTTCCCCCTAGCACCTATGCCATAACTCTCCATTACTGCATCTCGTATTTACACTTTAAGCGCTCCAGGACAGGGAACATAAGTCATTCATTTCCAAAGCACAGATTTAAGTGTTCCGTGATAATAATTAATCATCAAGTTATTATAGAAGTCATTCAAAAGAATTAGTGACATTAAATTAAAGCTTTACTACCTCTGTTAATAATGATGCAGCTTTTTTTTACAACCTCAATAACTGGGAAATTAATCCCCTAACATTAGTAGGGGAATGGCTTCTTGTGAAAGCCTCTGTAAATATATTTGTACAAAGACAATTGCCTGCTAATGATCTACCAGGCCTGTGGAATGGTGTATGGGTTAGATTCTCAAGTCAACTTGCCATATCAGCCAGGAGGCCAAATCTTTTCTGCTGGGCTTGCTAGAACCAGAGGGCTCACGTGGGACCTCAGCAGTAGGTAACTGAGCAACTTCTCATAGCACAAGCAGCAAGGAACCAACCGTTGATCGGTGCTATCAAGGGACTCAGTCATTCACGTGAAAGTTCAGAGGCACTCAGAGCAAGAAGAGAGTCAGTGCAATGCAATGATGATGTGTCACGTGATATGGTCCCCAGCACTGGCTGGAATAACCACTCCTGGCACACCACGGCCTCATCACATAGGGACAACGTGGTAGTTCTGGTCTTGTCCTGCAAGGGGACATCCTGACCTGGTCAACAGGAGGGAACACTCAAAATTTGGTGGAGGATATCAAACCAGGGGGAGTAGTTGACACACC